GCCAAAGGATTCCCACTTTAACAGGGCACTTGTAAAAAGGAAGCAGCTGGGCTCTGGCCTTTGCTTTTCTGCCTGAGAAAGGAGAGCCATTGGATCTTCATTATGTCCTCTGTTGACTACTCTTGATTGAATCTTGTAGCGAATTTGCATGATGGAGCCACCAAGCACAGAATCAGGCCAGCGCGTATTAATGCACTCCTTCCTCATTTGAGACATTAGCGGAACAGGTCAAGGGACCAGCTGGATAAGCCAGCACCCTCTCAGTGCACTGACAGGAGACAAGTTACTTAGCCAGCAAGCTTTAACCAGTGGCAGTGGCCAATGTAGCACCCACCCGTTTGGAGGACGGGCTGGGAGAAGCTCCAGGTGTGCCAGGTGAGTCCTTCAAGAGCATGTGGGGAGTGTCTGGAGACCACCTATGGTTTTCTCTGGAAGGAAAATAAAGCTTTTAGTCACTCTGAAGCTCTGCTGAGACCTCAGGAGGTCTGAGAAAGTCATGTGGCTTGGCTACCTCTGCAGACCTTTGGTTTGTCTTGGTTTGCAAGGCTGGTTTTCATTCAGTGCAGACTTCCTTCCAAAATGGGATAAAGATTTCCAAGAAATTTTAACCTTCAGATAGTTCATAAATATCAGTATTTGTCATTCCATAGGGCTGTTGGTGCTGAATCAAGACTGGACAGATACAAGAAAAGATTGGGGCGGTAAAGTGGTAGAATCCGTCTTGATCATCGGATGACCTTTCAGGAAAGAAGGTGGGGACATTAGCTTTTCCCCCTTAGCTCTCCATTTTTTTTCTTCCCCCCTTACTTTTTGCCCTTCACTTTCATTTGAAAGGTAATGTACAAGCAGGGCTGCAGACTCTGCCAAGTAGAATGCTGAATTCTGCAATGCTACACTGACAGAATTCCTAGAACAAAAATTATCGCCCATGTTTTAGGATTATCTAGAAACATGGCTGTGGGGCATTGCAGAAGTGATTTGAAGACCTGTGTCTGTGTTCTGTTTGCTGCTGAACCCTTCCCCTGTGCTGGCCAGCCAGTGGGACAGCAGGATGCTGGCTTGTGGCCAGATTTGCTGGGTGTCAGCTCTCTCTTTCTGGCTCTGTTAATGTTGAACAAGTTACTTGAGCTTTTGACCTTCCCTGTGTTTCTATGAAATAGAGCTAATATAGCACCTGCCTATTGGTAGTACTTGCACTGTATGATAAATAAGAAGCTGTGTAAAGCACAGTGGCTGTCCTTAGAAATGACTCAGTAACTGCAAAATACCACTTACCTATTATATTGCAAGAGGAGACTTGTTTCCATGTTGGCAGGATGGAAAGTACCAGTGGTGGGACCCAACAGAGTCTATGCGGCTATGTATGCCCTTTTTGTCTGCGAGTGTATATCCACTTAGTCTTGGTCTGATTAAGTCCTTCCTCTAGCCCTCAGTTCCTTCCTTGTCATTTATTGCTCTAGGCCTGATGATAATGTTATCTCGTTCAGTCTTTGCAAACATGAGGTGAATTTCTCCATTTTTTTCCAGTAATAAAACTGAGGGCCGGCCAGGCAGCAGTGGCGCACACCTTTTATCCTAGCACTCGGGAGGCAGAGGCAGGTGGATCTCTGTGAGTTCAAGGCCAGCCTGGTCTACAGAGCAAGATCCAGGACAGGCACCAAAGTTACAAGGAGAAACCCTGTCTCAAAAAACAAAACCAACCAACCAAACAAACAAACAAACAAAAAACCCTAAGGACCAGGGAGGGACATATCACTTGCCAAGGTCTTGAGTCTAGAAAACCCCAGTCTTCTTGTCATTCTCTGATTGCATAAAAATAGTTCCTAATTACTTCATAGGCCTTGTAAAATGAGTTAAAATGAAAGCACTGAGAGGTGCGGACTCTGCTTTAGTCAAAATTTTCCCAGCTCACCTCTTTCTCAAAATCCCATGGCCAACTTTTTCTTCCCTGATGGAAAGAACTTTGGACTGAGACCTAAGAAGACCCAGTGTAATCTCAGCTGTACTGCCTCAGTATGTGACCTCACACTGCTCCAAGGCCTTCCTGGGGCCTGGTCCCTTTCAGTATAATGAAGAGATTGCTCTAAACCCAAGACCCTTGCCAAGTTAACCCCTAGGATATAAATGTCTGGCGATGGTAGACCTTGCTGAGTGGCCTGCTTGCCAGTATTTCAGCACTAACTCCGCCCCTTCTCCTTCACACTGAAATACCTCACACATAAATACAGGACTGTTGTGATGCTGTTTCAGGCATTACCTAAATCTTCTCAGAAGTGCTGGGGAAATACTCAGCATGGGAAGTGTAAACTTTCTAGTAACAGATCACTTGAATAGCTCTGTGTCTGTCTGTGCCCAGGCTGGGGTTGGAGGGCCGGTCCGGAATGCCTCCTTCCATGCTGCTGTAGCCCAGCCCTCAGCCTGCACACAGTGCTAACAGGGAGTGCAGCAGACAGGTATGCTCTAAGCCACTTAAATTCTTAAGAAACCTTGCTCTTTTGAGTTGGAAACATCAGAAAATGTCTTGTAAACACACAAGAACTTAAGTTGGAAATGAAGTGTCTTTATCCTAAAACTCCGTCTTTTCCTCATGTCTCCATTGCATGTGTGACACTGGATCTGCACATACATTCCTAAGCTGGCTTACAGAGATAAGCAGCCCAGTTCTGCCAGAAAACTAGGGACAGCGTACCCTATCCCAAGCTTCTAACCGTCTTCTGGTTTTGTTATTTATGAACTTGTAACCATGCAGAGGTCAGATATTGGTATATTTCTAAGACCTTAGGTGAGGTGTTTAGATGCTGAGAATTTTTAAGGAAATAGGTGGAGGGAATAAGGGGCAAAGCCATGGAGTCCACTTCAGCTGTAGTTAGCTGAGTACCAAGTCTTCTGTTTGGTCCTATAGCATTATCACTACTGGCTATGGGGGCACATGCCCTTTTTTCTTTTGAGAGATGGGGGTTGAAACAGGGTTTCTCTCTGTAGTCCTAGAACTGACTCTGTAGACCAGGCTGGCTTCAAATTCAAAGAAATCCACCTGCTTCTGCCTCCTGAGTGCTAGGATTAAAGGCATGTGCCACCACACCTGGCTCTTTTTTTTTTCCCCCATTATCATTGAGGAGAAGACTTGAAGTAAGTACTCTGTGTGACTTGCTTCCTGTTTCTGTGCCACTTTACCCCAGTCACAGCTTTCCATACAGATTTGCAAGGCATCATGTGAGGGACACTGGGGCAGGTGTGGGCTCCTCTAGCTTGGGACTCACAACTGTGTGTTTGAATGCTTTTATCAGTTTCTTTAAAAATGCTTCAGGGGAGGCAGCGGCAGGCAGATCTCTGTGAGTTCAAGGCCAACCTGGTCCACAGAGCGAGTTCCAGGACAGCTAGGGTTACACAAAGAAACCCTGGCCTGAAGGAAAAACACACACACACACACACACACACACACACACACACACACACACACACACACACACACAAATAAAAGCATTAGCTGCTCTTGCAGAGGACCCAGGTTTGGTTCCCAGGACCCATGTGGTAACTCACAACCATCTGTAACTCCAGTTCCAGGGACTCTGATGCCCTCTTCTGACCTCCATGGCACCAAGCATACATGTTCTGCATGTACATATATGCAAGCAAAACACACAAATTTTTAAAAATAAATAAATATTGTAGATGGTCATTACCAACATCATACTATGAAAATGCTAACTGAAAACTAATGGAACAGTGAAATCTCGGCAGCAGTAGCTAGATGCATTATGTTATGTTAGCCTATCCAGACCAGGTAAGAGTCATTGTTACAGCCAGGCAGTGGTGGTGTATGCCTTTAATCCCAGCGCACAGGAGGCAGAGGCAGGTGGATGTCTGTGAGTTCGAGGCCAGCGTGGTCTACAGAGTGAGTTCAGGACAGCCAGAGCTACACAGAGAAACCCTGGCTTGAAAAACAGAAACAAAAAAGTCATTGTTACCAAAGAAAGAAGCTGTGATTTTCTGTGATATACACAAATGGATGCAGGCAAATCAATAACTTTTCAAAGTCAGTGGTTCTGTGGTAGAATTTGCATGCAAAGAATTTATCTCTTTAAAACTGTTCAATAATATAAAATGGAAAAGATTAAAATAGTAACAATTCATCTGTCTTATTGGGCATGTTCATCAGTGCATTAGCCTACTTGGGGGCGGGGAGGAACCAAACCGTGTGTGTGTGTGTGTGTGTGTGTGTGTGTGTGTGTGTGTGTGTGTGTGTGTGTGTGTGTGTGTGTGTGTGTGAAGTTAGCTTTGCTTAATTGTAGTTCAACTCGGAAGATTCTCGACCAAATTTTACCAATACTGTTACAATGCTGAGGAAACCCTTGGTGTATAACAGTCCAGATTGCCCTAGCAGTAAAATAGCAGATTCCAATGTCCTGTGTTCGTCTCGCATTGAAAACGACTGCTTTACTTAGTAGTGTTTAGGAGCACTCTGAAGAGCTGCGCCTCCTCTTCCCCCACCCTGCTCACATACTTCTTAACGGATATAGCTGCCTTGGTTTCAAGGGAAGCAAAGGATTCTTGAGTGAAGGATGAATGAAGGTTTTATCCCAGGCAGGGTGGGTGAGTTGAGGGGTTGGAGGTGCAGGTGACACAGTGACTCCTCCCTTGGCAGAGATGGAAGGGTGGTGAGCTCTTTTACTTGACGATTACTCGGCTGCCTTGCTTTGCTGCTTCCCTGGCCTTGTTGGCTACTAGTCCTCACTGAAAAGAGTCTAAGAGAACATCAAACTCGAGTCAGCAAGCTCCGTGAAATGCTGTGTGGCAGAGCACCCTAGTGAAAGCTGAAGGCTATGGACAAAGGGAGACGCTCAATGACTTAATGAAGGAGAAATTGGGTCTTGGCTTTGTCCACATTGTCTCTGTCCAGAGCGTTGACTCCACACTGTTGTTGTGGTTGAGCATGTCCACACTGACTATGGATATCTGGATTTGGAGAAGGTATTTCATTCTGTTTTCCTCTCTTTCAGGTTTCAAGTGCCCCATTTGCTCCAAGTCTGTGGCTTCCGATGAGATGGAAATGCACTTTATAATGTGTCTGAGCAAACCTCGCCTCTCCTACAATGGTAAGGGCTATCTGTCTCATCTGCTTCCTGATGTCAAGATGAGTTGGGCAGTTGGGGGCATAGCCTCCAGGTGGGGGGGTCTGTGTAGTTTTCTTTTAGCAACAGTATCTGTGTGCTAGTGAGGAACGTACTGTTCCAAAGAGCCTTGGTTATAAGTTGGGGTAGCTGAGGAGTGGCCAAGGAAGGCAGGGCCCTGGTCAGGGCTATAGAAGGTGAGAAGGCTCCCAGCATTTTTTGAATATTGTATCCCTACTCAAAAATTTCAAGGACTAGAGATGTAGCTCAGTGGTAAAATGCTTGCCTGACATGCACAAGGCCCTGGATTCCATTTTAGCAACACCCCCCCCCATCATATTTTGTAAATTTTAGATTTTCTAACAAGATTATATCTCTTACTTGCTGGCCAAAGGATCCCAGTTGCAGGAGGGCATGCTATCTGTCTTGGTACATACAGCCTGAAGACCTCTGGACATGCCAGAAGGCCAACTACAGGGCAGGCTGTGGCCCTGTCTTTCCTCCCAGTGAGCCAGCCCTCTTTTCTCCAGCAGACAGCCTTCCCTTTTCTCTGTGACTGCCATGCTCCTGGGTCTGCTGCTTTACCCGTCCCCTGCTCAAGCTCGGCTTTGTCCGTTACCCATCTCTGCCTGGGACCATGGAAGGGGTTTTCCCTGGATCTCTCATAGCTTGCCACAGTCATGGCCTCAAGTACTGTGTTTGCTTTGTCTCACGTGGGTTGAGACCTTGTGAAGACTGTTTTGTCCTGTGGGCTGCTGGCAAGAGCTCTCTCTAGACAGTGCCTTTGCTGTCATAGCACAAAGAAGCTTCACAGGGGGCTAGGCCTGAGAGAACTTGGCTTTTAGAATCATTGGGGAGAACTTTGTAATAACTCTGTCTGTAACACAAAGTGATGTCAGGACTATGCAAAACAAAGTCACTTCGCCTGCTAATATGGGAAATGGGGAAGGTGAGGGTCTCCAGCTCCTTTCCCAGAGAACCCAGGTCTTCCTGTGGACCATCACTTGAGGGGCTGGTGCTGCTGGTCCATCCTTATCACCAGCAACCTGGGCAAGTCCCCTTAGAGCAGTGCTTCTCAACCTTCCTAGTGCTGTGATCCTTTAATACAGTTCCTCATGTCGTAGTAACCCCAATCATAAAATTATTTTCGTTGCTCCTTCATAACTGTAAATTTGCTACTGTTATGCATCATAATGTAAATATCTGATATGCAGGGTATCTGACATGTGACCCCTGTGAAAGGGTTGTTCATCCCCAAAGGGGTCACGCCCCACCTGTTAAATCATTGCCTTAGAGGAAGGAAAGGTTGGCCACCTGAGACAGAGCCACTGTGGTCCCCTCTGCTCCGTGGTTTTCTCTCACCCTTGACATGAGAAGCCACCTCTCCCTGTCTGTATGCTCCAGACTTGCAGTTCAGGACTCTCTTTCAGAACCAGTCCTTTCCCACCAGAGGCAGGGAGGCCAGTCGCCTCTAGCCCTGTGAGTAGAGTTTATCCTAAGGTGATGGAGGAGCTTCAGAGCCCATGTCTGGGTCCTCTGTACACATGACTAATGCAGAAAGGAGGCTGTGGCCCCATGGACACCTCACACTCAGTCTGTTTTTTCTTTTCTCTGAAGACACTAGAGGTAAGAAGACAGTATTTGGGGCAGGGTGTGGTACCTCTCACCTTTAATCCCAGCACTCTGGAGGAAGATGCAGGTGTATCTCTGAGTTCCAGAACAGCCAAGGATACACAGAGAAACCCTGGGGGGTGGGGGTAGGGGGCAGTGTTTGTCACCTGGGTCCTTAGACCAAAGCTTCCAAGGCAAGAGCTCTGAGCTTACTTTGGCTTTACTGGTAACATATTCTACCTAGATTCTCATCACCCCAATTTCACATGCTTTGCCTTATCTACTTAAAAACAAAAAGTGGATCCAAAAAGATGACTCAGCAGTTAAGAGTTCGGGGACCTGAATTCAATTCCCAGTACCCATATGCCAGTTCATAGACATCTGTAACTCCAATTCCAAGAGATCTAATGCCTTCTCGCTTCCACAATCACCAGCACAGACATACATGCAGTTAAAACACCTCTACACATGAATAAATCTTTAAAGTTTTCAAAGAAAAAAGTAAGAGGAAATCTCTGGCTAGAAGCCAGGCGCTCTTGGGACTGCTCTAGAAAGGGCCGGTGTGAAGTTGTCTTCAGTGGTGGTGACATTCTGTTTCCTCATGAAAGGTGACTGCAGGGACTGCAGAGTTGACTTAGTGGTTAAGAGCCCTTGTTCTTGGCACTCAAATGAAGGTTCACCATCTCCTTGGACACCAGGCACACATGTGGTACATAGACATACATGCAGATAAAACGTTTATACTCACAAAATCGTAAAATAAATCTTTAAAAAAATTTCAGTGACTAGAGGGCTGAGAATGCAGCTCAGGAGTAGAGTGCATGCCTATGGTGTGTGCGGCTCTGTATTTCATTCCCAGAAGTAGGAAAGGGAGAGAGAGAGAGAGTGAGTTAGCACCAGTGAACTGGAAAGCAAGCTCTGGGACCTCCTGGTCACAGCCCTGGAGACCTGCACATGCACACACATTCACTCACACCTTCCACAGTTGCTGGCTCCAATGGAGGAAATTTCTATAAAATTTATGATAGTTATATAAGATGAAATTTAGTTACCACCAAAGAAACAAAGTAGAAGCCTCCTAAATGAGGCAGATAGAAAGTAGTATTTTTCTTATTATGAGGGTTGGCCCAAGTGGAAGGTTGGAAGGCCTCCAGTAGTTGCCTGCCAGATTATTTTTTAAAACTTAGGGAAAGCAAGACCAGTTTTACTAGTCCAGCAAGTGCTCGGAGAAGAGAACTGGCACCTAGTGCTGCTGGGGCGAGGACTCAGGCAGGCAGGCCAGTGACCACCAGAGACCCTCTGCAGGAGCGGGGGGCAAGCCCCAGGCAGCAGCCATTAGTATTCTCACCCTTCCGGGCCTTCCTATGGCAGCCCTGGAACCTAAGACTCCTAGAACTGAGGGAGTTACAGAGAAGAGGGGAAGGAGGTAGGAGCCCTCTGGGTAAACTTGATTGCCCTCAGTACCTGTGTCTTTCTCTTTCTAAACTCTGGCCATCATACTGCCCAGGTAGCAATACAGAAGCTCCTGCAATGGAGGTATGACTTTTCCTTAGCATGTGACAGGGCGGTGGTGGCCCACACCTTTAATGCCAGCACTCAGGAGGCAGAGGCAGGTGGATCCCTGAGTTTGAGGACAGCCAGGGCGACACAGAGAAACCCTGTCTTGACAAACCAAACAAACACGGAAGAGGAAGAAAAAGAAGGAGGAAGAGGAAGAAAGGAAGGAAGAAGGAACAAGAAAAGAAAGACAGAAGAAGGGATATTCTGGTGAGGCAGGTGTTTTGCTACAGCATCAAGGACATGGCAGCCAGTATGCTACCTCAGTAGATGCCGGGAGTTCTGTTCTGGGGTACAGGCCCATGCCTGGCTTCTTGCTTTATGATGCTCTCCCTTCTCTGCCAAGAGGTATTGCCCTATCTTCAGAGCTCTGAAAATGCTTTTGTGGGAGCTCCTTCCTCCTTTCCTTATCATTTATTGTGTGTTCCTGTGTGTCTGTGCCCACCTGTGGGTGTTTACCATTGCCCACAAGTGGAGGCCAGAAGACGACATGGTGGGGACTATGTGCATTTTAGGGACTGTACTCGGGTTGTCAAGCTCTGCAGCAAGTTACCTACTGTGCCATCTTGCCAGCCCAACATACTTTCTTGGAGGAGATGGGACATGTATGTGCACATGTGGGTGCATGTAAAGGCCTGAGGTCAACATCAGATGTCTTCCTCACCTTTATTATTTTTTTTTTAGATTTACTTTTTTTTATTTTATGTGTATGAATGTTTTACCTGCATGCAAATGTGTGTACCACATGCATGCCTGGTGCCCTTGGAGGTCAGAATATGGTATCAGACCCCCTGGAACTAGAGTTACTGTTGTTGTGAGCCTCTAGGTGGGTGCTGGTAACCGAACCCAGGTCTTCTGCAAAAGCAACAAGTGCACTGAACTACTGAGCCATCTCTCCAGTCACCTCTTCTTATTTTTTGAGATGGGGTCAGTCTTTCACTGAACCTACAGCTCACGGATTTGGCTAGGCTGGCTGGCTAGTGAACTCTAGGGATCCTCCTGTCTCTGCCTTTTCGGTGCTGGAACTAGAGACACGCACAACACGCTGGGTTTTTAGATAGTTGCTAGGAATGGGAACGCACATTGTGTCTGAGTGGCAGGCCCTCTACCACCTGAGTCACCTCCCTAGCCCACATAAGCTACAAGAGGCCAGAGGAGAGGACACTGCATGGAGAAGCTGGACACAGCTTTTGTGACTGTGAAACATCCCAGGCCTTTATTTAGTCAGCTTTACCCCCCTGGATATCCTCATTGCAGCCAAATTTATCAAAACATTGGATTACACCTCATAAAATCCAGGGGTTGCACACGAATCCTAAATCGTCTTTTAATAAAAACCCAGAGCCAGATATTGGGGTAAATGCTGAAAGATCAGAGAGACAAAGGAACAAGCCACAGCCACCTTTCACCTCACCAACTCCTCAGCCAATCTCCAGGACTCCTCAGGCTGAATGCCTCTGAGTCCTCAGCCAAAAGGGCCTCTCCAGTTCCTGTGTCCTCGCGCCTTATATGCCTTTCTCCGCCCAGCCATTTCACTTCCTATCTCAATCCTAGTGCTGGGATTACAGGCGTGTGTGCTTCCCAAATACTGGTAGCAAAGGCATGAGATCTCAAGTGCTAGGATTAGAGGCTGTGACTCCCAAGTACTGGGGTTAAAGGTGTGTGCCACCACTGCCTGACCTCTGTGACTGGCTCTGACCTTTGATCTTCAGGCAGGTTTTATTAGAAAACCACAAAAATATCACCACCACAAGGGGTATTGGGACAAGATTCCTCTGCTGATAGGAGACACTCTGCTTAAGATCTCAGGAGAGGACACTCCAGCATTACTAAGAAAGGAATCAGAGAACCTTGTCCTGTCTGCCAATATATTGGGCCAGCGACAGCTCTGTACTTGCCGGAGATGGTGTAAGACCAAACCTGTGCCTTACCTATACCTTCTGCCAGGAGTTTTCCCTTTTCTTCCATCCTCCTTATTGACATGCTGCAGGGGGAATGTAGATGCATGCTCCTGCTCTTAGCCAAGTCTGAGCTGGGCCTCAGCCTTCCCTCCCAAGCCCCATGCCACCAAGAGTTCTGGGGGCCCTTGGTGAGTGCCTTGCCAGAGCACTCCACGGGTCAGCTAAGTCTTAGGATGTTCAGAGGCAACAGTGCTGACTCTCAAACTGCCCTATCCATTGTGAGCACCTGGAGTCCCCCAAACACCTTACAGAAATGGGAAGCTTACGCTCCCTGTGAGATGGGTATTGTTTTTAAGCCACAAGGGAAGTCGCTCATGGCCTGGACCTTTAAAGGAAACAGGTAGGATGGCAAGAGCTCAGACTTAGAGTCATGGCAGCTGCATAGATGTCCCTCTGCCAGGGTCTGCAGGACTCTCTGAGATTTCTCTGAAATTCTTGGTCTGTAGCTGGCTCAGGAAAGCAAGGGCCCTCTCCTCCTCCTCCTCCTCCTCCTCCTCCTCCTCCTCCTCCTCCTCCTCCTCCTCCTCCTCCTCTTCCTCTTCCTGGGCATGTCAAGGAGCACTTGAGTCCATCTGCATGTGTGCCAAGTCCAGAGTCCTTGGCTTTGTGCCACACAGTCCCTGTCTGATGAGTATGGAAGTCTCACAGAAATGCTTGATAGCCAAGCCTCTGCTTCTAATCCACTTTCTGATCCCAGGGACATCTGGTGGCTGCTCATTCTCAGAGCCCTGATGATTGAAACAGGAAGTTTTAAAGAGACCTCTTGAGGATCTTTGCTCTTCCTACCCTCTGCTCCCTGGGTTCTGGGCTAGGTATGGGCACTACTGGATTACCCACACTGTAGGATCCTATGCCTCTCTCTCTTTTTTTTTTTTTTTCATTACGTTTTGTGCATGCGTGCATGCGTGCGTGCATGTACAACTTGGGAGCAGTTCTCTCCTTTCACCATTGTGGGTCTGGAGAGCAAACTCAAGTCTTCAGGCTTGTGGCAGGCACCTTTATGTACTAAGCCATCTCGCCCACCCCGATTCCAAGCCTCTTATTCTTTTGGGCCACCCCAGAACCTCCAGATGGCCCTCCACAGCCTCAATCCCAGTGTTTTCTGTTTCCTGCTCTGTGTCAGCCTAACATGGTAGGTTCAGTTTTCCATATTGTGCTGCAGACACCCAGGCTGGCCAGTAAAGTCCATAAAATGGCTTTGTGAAGAGGCCACGAAAAGTGTGTATTTAATCAACCGGTGTTCCAGTCTGGGTCTGCTAGTCCTTCATTGACAAGTGTTCAGGGTTCTACCTGTGGATCCTAAATGAATCACTCTTGTTCTCCCTGCTCTAGTGTGATGTACACTTTGAAGAAAGAAAAGTCAAGTCAGTCCTATTGAGGAAGAGAGCCTCTGAGCCAGACCTCCATATCTGCTCCCCACCCCACACTAGCACCTGGGGGCCACATGGGCTCCGGAGGTGCAGATGGAACAGTGAGCACAGACCATACAGGAAGTCTAACTGGCTTCTTGGGTTCATTGCTGAGTTACCCATTGGTAGGGGATTCCCAAGGGAAACTTTTACAATCTAGGGGAGAGAGGGACAAAGGTTATGAAGGACTATAGCCTGAAAACCATGTCAGGGGTAAGATGCCCCAGAGAATGGGGAAGAAATGGCCAAGGATGTCTCCAGGATGACTCCACTGTCTCTAGACTAAGCGAGTTTTCCTCCCATCTCTGTTGAGGGTTCTGTTCTCCAGTGTGTTCCCATGAAAAGCATCAGGCATAGCCAAGTTGAAAGCCTTTGCAATAAACACCTGTCTCCTGGGCCCTGCATTGTATAAGATCTCCTTTGTCTATTCACAATCCATCTTACCCTTTGACTACATTCTCAAGTAAAATGCAAATCCCAGGTGTCTTAGTCAATGTTCTGTTGCTGTGAAGACACACCATGACCACAACAATTCTTTTTTTGGTTTTTTGAGACAGTTTTGTGTAGTTTTGGTTCCTGTCCTGGAACTTACTCTGTAGCCCAGGCTGGCCCCAAACTCAGAGATCGGCCTGGCTCTGCCTCCCGAGTGCTGGGATTGAAGGTGTGCGCCACCACTGCCAGCTTCAGTGCAGTTCTTTGTTGAGGATTTTAAGTCTAAAAGTAGTATGTGTTCAAGACAATATAAAAGAACATCAGAGTGCTTTACTTCTAATCCTACTTTCTGTCACTTTAAAGGTGTATTTTTCAGGATTTTTCTTCTTTACCTGCACAAAGTTGTATGTGGTATCTATTGCTTTAAATGAATGGGATTGGCCACTTTAGGGTGTTCTTATACTTGCCAGGTTTGGAGTGTGAGGTGACAGTATTGTGGCAGACCATTGTCCATCTCCTTTCTAAGTTCATATTACACTTTCTGTTGTATCCTTGGCTTAGCTAAATGTTAAAAGAGAAAGTTATGACCACATGTTGTCCCAGTGGCCAGGAAACCCAAGTGATTTCTCTCACAACTCCTAAGGATAGGAATGTCAATATCATATTTTATCTATTTTATTCATTTGCCCCGGGATTCTTGGGCAAGTGACTTTGAGCCTATGAATAATTGCCCCCCGCCCCTTCTTTTCCTGAGACAAGGTTTCTGTGTAACCCTGGGACTTAACTCTGTAGACCAGGCTGACCTCAAACTCAGAGATCTGCCTGCCTGTGCCTCCCAAGAGCTGAGATTAAAGGCGTGTGCCACCACCGCCCAGCTAAATAATCCATACTTTATGGGTCCTTAATAGTTTTCTTTCCACCAAACAACAGTGGAAAGAGAAGTCATCAGAACAAAGGACCCTAATCCTGGACCATCCTTAAGTCCCCCGACAATGGCAAGACGTGACTTCTCTGGTTTCCTCATTCACAGGATGAACATAACACTGAGCGCCTTGCCTGGCTTGTAAGATCCTTCGACTCAAAGAGAAACATAGACACAGAATCTCATTTTAGTCATTGCTACAGCTGGGGACTGATGGTCTGCTCGGTGGGAAGTGATCTAAACTCTCCTTCCTGGACAGCCATACCCTGCTCACTTGATGTTCTGTTGTGGTTTGGGTGATTTCCGGGTGATTCCATGTCACCTCTGCATTACCAGGCCTGTCTATGGCTTTATTAGTCTAAACTTTCTCCTTGGACAATCTCTTTAGTCTGTTCTCTGTACATGTTTACCGTATCTATTCTGAACCCCACATCTAAACTAAAGCAGATTTCTGGAAACCTCCATTGGTATGTGTCTATGGAGATACTCAGTAGACACCTGGATTCATCACTCTCTGACTTTGCCTTTTCCTATGGAGTCTCTTAATGACTTACCATGCTGTCGCCCAACCCCTGTGAGCACATGTGCTGTTGCTGCATGCTCAGAGTTGGCCTCCAGAGTGAGCTCCCCTTCTCCACCTCTAGTGCCTCTTGGCTAAGCAAAGGAGACTGAGGTTCCACAGCACAGCATGAAGCTGCCCTAGGGACTTGGTTTCACCCCTGCTTATGACTCCTTAGGCTCTTTGCAACCTGTCTTAGCCCATTTCCTCAAGTTCCCAAGTGTCTGACACTGTTTCCTTTGCCTGGAACCTAATCCCTCCCACCCCAGCCTATGCCTTTGACTCATATCATTGTGAACTTCTCCAAAGCTGTCCTTGAACAGTCTGAGTAAGCACTTTTCTTCCATACCCCTAATACCTGGTTCAAGCTTCTGGTTCAGAAGGCTCTTCTAGTTACTGCTTATTATTTCTCCCATTGCTATTCCCCCACAGACAAAGCATACATAGTGCTTTGGATCGTGTAAGTAGTTCCTAGACCTGTGTTTGTTCGGTGCCACCCACCTGCTGCTGCTGATTAACCCCGTTGGTCTCCCTGTCTCTCTTGCAGATGACGTGCTGACTAAAGATGCGGGGGAGTGTGTGATCTGTCTGGAGGAGCTGCTTCAGGGGGACACGATAGCCAGGCTGCCTTGCCTGTGCATCTATCACAAAAGGTACAAGGCCCTGCCTGGCACGAACAACTGTAACGAATCCCACATCCACAGGGTAGATAGCCTTCACCAGCCATTCAGTCCTCTTTGGCTGTGGGATGGCCTGTACACCCTTTGCTCTCTGAGAGAGGTCAGGCATCTACTGTACTGACGGAAGACTCAGTCATAGCCAGGGCAGGGCAGAGGTGAATTGCTCAAGGTTCAACTCTGCTTGGGCAGTTCAGATGGTAGGAGCTGTGGGCAGACCTGGTTTGGAGTTATACAGGATCCCACCTGAAGCTTGACTGCCTTCCTTCCCTCTGAACCCTGTCCTGCAGAAAGAGAGGTAGCAAGGGTAGAACAGCTGTCCTTGGCGGCCTGTGAGACACCCTCCTCCCCCAAGGGCCAGGAGGCAGGAAAAGCCACTACCTGTAAGTACTGAGAGCTGCTATATTAGCCAGGCCAAGATTTGTCCTCTACCTTCAGCAGTATCCTCTTTTTTTTTCTTTTTTTTCTAACTGGAAAGAAGACACCTCATTGCCCAGGACAGTAAGCACACCAACAGTTCCTGTGGCCACCACCTGCTCTCTGCTCCTCCAGCCAGCACTGGTTGCTGGCATGGGGGCTTTTCTAAGCCCAACCCAGGACTGCTGGTCTTCAGTGTCACAGCTGTGCCTGGCGTGTGATTGGCCTATGAGAGAACTGGTTCTTGGTCTGGTTTCCACCACAGATCCCGCAGCATCCCGGGGAGGCACTAACCAGAGCCAGGAAAGAAAACCCCTGGCCCTGGGGAAAGCTAAGCAAATGATCTTTTTGGTCAGTCTCTTTGAAAATGCCCAGATTTTACATTTTACATGGGTTTACAAAACAGGGCAGTGTCTTGGGACCCTTGCTGTTTCTTCTTTGATGCAGACAGTCCTCTATAAACACTGGAGAGTGAGGCCGTGCTACACCCCTTCCCAGGCTCACTTGCTTAGCAATGTCAAAGAGCCCAAGGGTCTAGCTCCCCTTCCTACTGTTGTAGCCAAGCTAGGCAGACTTGGAGCTTCTGAGAGGGGTGCCCCCATCACCCCAGATCTGGCCACACTTGTCACTGGCCAGCCTCTCCTTTGGTCCCACTTCCTGCCCTCCTCAGACAGTTAACCTGCTGCTGCTCTATGTAGCCCGCCTGCTCTCATCTTCTCAGCGTTAACTGCTGCTGTCCTGGGCTCCTGTGCTTGGGCTTTGGGCCTTACAAGGCCACTCTTGCCCTTTCTGCAAAGCCAGATCTACCAGAGTCTGTACCTACTGGCCATGCCCCCTGCTGAGCCAGGATCATTCTTTTTTTATTTATTTTTTATTTTTTTTAATAATTTATTTAACTTTATTTTATGTGCATGAAGGAATCAAATCCCCTGGAACTGGAGTTGCAGACAGCTGTGAGCTGCCCTGTGGGTGCTGGGAATTGAACCCAGGCCCTCTGGAAGAACAGCCAGTGCTCTTAACCACTAAGCCATCTCTCCAGCCCCCCCCCCCCAGGATCATTCTTTATTTTTTTTAAAGACTTATTTATTTATTTGATTTATTGATACAGGGTCTCACTAAAAAAGCTTCGGCTGTCTAGAGCTTATTTTGTAGACTAGGCTGGCCTTGAACTTACAGAGATCTACCTGCTTTTGCTTTCTGAATGCTGGGGTTAAAGTTGTGCTTCACCAATACACCCATCTTATTTTTTTATTTGATGTGCATGGGTATTTTGTTTGCATGTATTTTTATAATGTGTGTGCCTGGTGCCCACTGAGACCAGAAGAGGGCATTGAATCCCCAGGAACTGGAGTTAAAGATGTTTGTGAGCCACTATGTGAGTGCTAGGAACTGAACCTGGTTCTTCTGAAAGGGCAGCCAGGGCTCTTAACCACTGAGCTGCCTCCTCAGCCCTCAGGATCATTATTTAAAATATATATATATATATTAGTTTTAAATTATGTGTATGTATGTGCATCTGTGTGTATGTGCATCTGACTGCAGGAGCCTACCAAGGCCAGAAGAGTTAGATCCCCCTGGAGCTGCATTTATGGGTTGGCTGTGAACCAGCAGATATGGGTGCTGTGAACCAAACTTGGGTCCTCTGGAAGAGCAGCATGTACTCTCAACCACTGACCCATCTCTCAAGCTCCCCCTCTGCCCCTGCGCCCTCAGATCATTCTTGATATTCTCCCCTTTCCTACTTCAAGGCGGTGGGGGACATAATAATTTTTCCCTGGGTCCTTTCAGGAGAGATTTAGAAAACCCTCCCCCAGAGCCCAACCCCTTGACAGGCCCCCTTGGCGGGAGCAGTGTTGTCAACAACTGATGTGTCTCCCTTGGTACCCGCTCCAGCTGCATAGACTCCTGGTTTGAAGTGAACAGATCTTGTCCAGAGCACCCTGCTGACTGACCCTGCTGGGCTGGCTTGCTGACTCCTCTCAAAGGTGAGCCCATAGTTGGTGGGGGCTCTGGGCTTACAGGGTCAAGTTTCTGGGAGTTGGGGGAGAGGGGGAAGGCTGCCTGATACACACCCCTCCCAGGAGAAAGCAGAAGCAGAGAGAAGGACAGGAACCATGTCCTCAGTGAGCAGTTCCCAGGGTGTGGAGGGATTTTCCTGGGGAAACAGAGGGACAGTAGCATGCTCCTGAAGAACTCAGTGCAAAGGTAGAATCACATTCCTTGCCCTGAGAAAGGCAGATCCCCTGCAGAGTGCATGGGCTGAAGCGGATGAGCCCCCAGCCGGGCTCTGCAGCTGTCTCTTTACAGCAGCTGCCTCATCCTTGCTCACCTCTCGGCTCCGTAGGCTCCATTTCTCTAGAAATGGAGGACTCACTAAACAGAGACCTGTGGAACGTTCAGTGTCCACTACAAAGTGCTTGTCTGAGCTCCTTTCCCTGCTGGTTCTCCCCCTGCTGGCCACCTTACCCCACTTCTAGAGGAATCTGAGGGCTCCAGGCCATACTCAGCCCTCTGTCCACAGCACAATGTCACAGTAACAGCAGGCCAGCATGACAACTCCCTCCCACACATGCACATGTATCTCCAGTGTGAGTGTTCCATTTCCTCCCCAGGGTGCCTTGTTTAACTGCTAACCCCCTCTCCTAGTCTCCTATTCCTACCCTACCTGTGCTTTCTGAGGCCTGTGCTGGCATATTCTCTCTCTCTCTCTCTCTCTCTCTCTCTCTCTCTCTCTCTCTCTCTCTCTCTCTCTCTCTCTCTCTCTCTCTTTCTCTCTTTCTCTCTCTTTCTGGCAAACAAAACATAAGTCCCAGAAAAACCAATAGCCCATTTCCACTTCGTCTTACATCCAAAGGTTTGGGGGGAATTTCTTTTCTTCTCTTTCTCTCTTTCGTTCTGTTTTCTTTTGTTAGGTTTATTTTATTTATTCCAAGTAAATGCCCAGACCAGCTGACGGTGTCAGGCAAACCAGGGACTTTTGCTCTTTTTACCTTCACCTCAAACTCTGATGACAAGGGGAGAAGACAGAGCAAGGGTGAGAGTGAGGCAGGGGATTGGACCCTGGCTTCAGGATGCAGGTCCAAATTGCCGGCATGATGTTTGGCTTCCGGGGGTCGGCCTGGACTGAACCAGACACCCCGGCCGACCAGCCTGCCCTCGGGGACACGCTGCGCTGCTGCCACCGCCGTGAGATGCAGCAGCAGTTCCCGGCCGGATGGAGCACGACTGACTTCTTCCGACCCACACAGGGACAGACAGCCCTGGTCCTGGGAGGAGGCTCCTCGGACACTGGACAGAGCTGAGCTTGGGACACCAGAGGGAACAGGGCACCCCTTCTGCACTGACTTCCAGAACATGGTCCTCCCTCCTCCCTGAGGACACCCAACTGATTGAGAGCGAGTCTGAGAGAAGAATGAATTGACCTCTATCCTTCCCCTCACCTTCAACCCAAGAGGGAAAGGGCATTTTCTTTTTCACCTTTGAAAGGCGTTGTGGGTCTGTCTTTAAAGTGTTTACAACAACAAAAAAATTATATAAAAAAAAAGTCTAGTGTCGACTGGTGTTTTCCCTCGTGATGTTTACAGATTGCTGTTTGCTGCCCAGCTAAAACCCACTCAGTGACAGAACCAAGCATAGCCATGTCTTCCCCGCTAGCACTCTGACAGCGGGCGGGCGGGCACACGGGCACACGGTCACTTCCTTTGCCCAACGCCCCAGTTGGCTCTCTGTATCACCAACCTTTCTACTTTGGGGGATTTGTTTTTTGTTTTCTTGTTTTTCTGTCCCATCTTTCTGGCTTGGTTTTGCACTTTTCTCCCTTAGTACCCTGATACCTTGATTTCCTTGCCAAAAATGAAAAGGGAAGACGCAGAAGAGCCCATGGAGGACACTTCCCCCACTCCGTTCCCATGTCTTCCCTGCCTTCCTCCTGGATCTGGTCCAATCAGAGGATTTAACAATCACAAATACACTGAAAAAAATGCCTGGACAGTTTTCTTAGGCCCTTGTGGTTTTGTTGGGTTTTGTTTTTTTCTGAGAAAACTTAGACTAACTAAAGGAACATGTACTGCTACCCCTGTTTTCAGGCACACTGAGAACATTTTAGCCATTGATGTTCACACGTGGCATCAGCCCATGCAGGATAGGTTTCTGTATTTATATATTAAAATACAAAAAAAAAAAACTCACAAAATGTTTTAAAAATGTTCAAAGCTCGGGAGAAAAGCTTTTCTTCATCAGTCAAGGTGTTTTGATATGGTATTAAAATAATGTCTAATAAAAGATGCACCGTGTGATCTTATTTTAATGAAGTGTTGTTACACAGTCAAGAAGTGGAGGGCAAAGGCCAGTTCCCTCTGTCCACCTCCCCAGCCCAGCACTCCTGGGCAGAGGCTGGGCAATGGTGGCTCAGGTGTGTCTTTCAAGTTTATGAATTCTTAAGCATCATGGAGTAATTGTCAGTCTGCTGTCATTGCTGGTTGTGATGGAATGTTTCTGGGAAGATATTCAGGGGCAAAGAACTTGCGGTCATCAGGTGCTGCAAGGATGTGGGCACCTCCAGCTCCCAGCCCAGCCCGTCTCTCACAGCCTCTGCTCCCCATCCTGCATTCTGCTTGCCTGATGCTCCATCACAGCTCAGTGCTGACTCATAGGCCTGCTTCACTGAGGCCCAGAAAGAGGCCCTGGTTTGGAGCTGTGCCAACTCACAGTCCCTGAACCAGAACCAGCCACTCGGTCTCATAAAAGTTGGCAAATTGCAGGCTGGGCAGGAAACTCAGGGCAGGGGGCGGCAGTGCATGCCAGCCCCATCTCCTAGCCAGGCTCCAGGAGTTGCATTTCAGAGCCTCCTGCAAAGCCAGCTAAGGAGAGCTCTGGAGGGAGATGGCTACATATCTCTGCCATGACCGTTTCCAGGCCTGCCCCTTGTACTGCTGCCTCAGGGCCCAGTCCCAACAGGCCCTCAAGTTTGGACTGGGCTACCATTCTTGCTCTAAGGTCACTTTTCCTCAGATGCTTCCTGAAGCAACTACTCTGTGCACGGACATTTGTTGGAGGCCAGTGGACACGTGTGAGCCGAGGCAGGCAGGCGAGCTCAGAGAACTGAGTGCTTTAGAGCCCGAGTGTTGAGACCTTGGGACCTGCACTGGGAGCACTGTTAATACCAGAACTGGAATGTCTGTACTGGGGCACTTTACTCCCTGGCAGAATGGTGAGGAAATAGCTCCGTCTGAACTTGACTCCTTGCATGTGAAGTGGGGACAGTCTTGCAGCTCTGTTGAGTGGGGGTCAGGGGTCAGCCCCAAAGGCCTGGCACACACGCACAGGCTTTCCTGTCACTTTGTCACTGCAAAGGGCACTGTTCTATTCCCAGCACCTCCAGCTTCTGCCTGGCAACTGTGTCTCCCTGTTCTATATATAATCCTACCAGCAGAGCTGGCGGGCCAGGGCCCAGCCCTGAAAGACATCTCCTTGCCTGACCCCTGGGCCTGGAGACAGGCTGTGTGTGCCCACCTTGGCTGTGTGAACCCGGCTGCTTTGGCAGCGCTGTGGCTGAGTCCGGCAGTTGAGTTGGTTGGGCCAACGCTGGGCCCCACACCGGGTGCTATTCTCGGCTCTCCAGGCGGTGCTCATCTCATCCCCAGTGACTTCCGCCCCCACCCGGCACACCAAAGCCCTCTGTCGGCTGTCATGTCCTCTGAATTTGGACCCAGATTGCCAGTGCCTGGTGTGAGGGTGGAATAGGCTTGTCTGGGCTTCCCAGGTGGCACTTGGGTCTGTCACCTGCCATCCAGACAACTCTCCAGAGTCCTATGTTGCTCCTGCTCTGCCTTTCTGAGAGGGAAGAAAATCTAGAAGAGCCAAGGGATGGGTTCTTCCCCTTTGCGCTTAGAGCTCAGAAAGCCTGAGAGCTCCGGGAGCCCCTTTTGAAAACCCCATCTACTAGCCATTTACTAGTATTGAAGCTCATAGGAGAATGTCCTTCTTAGGAGATAGATGCTGAATTATATAGTTGAGTGATTTCAAGAAATGTATAATCTAACCCCATGTGGTTCCCCCCAAAAATACACAAAGCAAATAAGACAAAAATGTCCATTGTTGAATCTTCAACGACTGATATTTCAGTGAATAGTGTACTTGTTCTTTCAACTTTTCTGTATGTTTCGAAGTTTCTTTAATAAAAGAAATTGTGGGGAAATGGCTGTTTATTGAGTTCCTACTAGTCGCCTGTTGCTGGAGGGTGTGTGGGAACCCTTCCCAGCAGAACTCAATTGGAGGGGTTGTGGGAGGGGCAAGCATTTGTCTGGGGGAGAGTTCACTAAAACTCTTTCCCTGGTGATTGAGTGATGTTTGGGTTTCTACATCCTGAAGTGGTTTGGGAGAGAACCATGAGACAGACATCAGAGAGAAGGGGTCCTCAGAACTGAATTTGGACTGACAACGTAACCATGGCGGCCTCTGTCTGCCCGGGAGCATGGTGGGAGAAGTGGTTAGGAGCTGGGGGGTACAAGAGGCTGCTGCTTCCTATGCCCGTGGCTCCTTCCCGTTTTCTTTGCTTTTTTCAACCCAAAAACCTATAAGTAGGGGAGATGGTGCTACAGTTGACTGGGACCCACAAGGGGTAAAAGGTCTAAAGACTGGCCACCTGGCCCAAGGCTGGAAACTGCAGATACCAGTGCCAGAGACTGCAGCTGTCCCTAAAATGCTGTTTTGCTGTGAGTTCAAGGCCAGCCTGGTCTCCAAAGCGAGTTCCAGGAAAGGCGCAAAGCTACACAGAGAAACCCTGTCTCGAAAAACCAAAAAAAAAAAAAAAAAAAAAAATGCTGTTTTGGATTTGTGGTGTCACGCGCCCTCTTGTGGACTTCTGGGGAACAACTGCCACGTACCTCCAGACAAGCACTCTGGCCAGGGAATCTCAAAACTGTCAGGCCCCAAAGTGGGTAAGCCCCTGACTTTGAAGGTAAAAGTTGGTGGATACTGCATTATACCATGGAGAGGGGTGGTACACAGGGTTATCTCATCTCCATTTCTAATGGCCTACGTAGCAGCAGCTTGAAGAGAGTGTTCCAGCCCAGTCCCGATGGGGAAGCTGTCATATAAGTATCCTCCACCACAGGTGGGTCTTCTGCCTCAAGTATGCAAAAGCAGAGAGAGGTTGGGCCTGGCTTTTTTCCAAAGCCTGAACTCCATCCACCTCCATCCATAGCTGCAAATAGAGTTCATATTCATGGGTGATGGGGGACAAGGGGAAGGCCTAACGATGTAGAATGGAAGGCTCCTTCCCGATGCAGAAAAGGGGTGTGCCTATCCCTATGTATAGGATGAGTCACAATGATGCTGGACACCAGCAGGAGAGGCCTCCACAGAGGGATCTGATCTTAGTCTTGGAGTAGAACCACACCATCTCGCCAGGAAGAAACTCCACTGGGAAACACCCTGGGTTTTCTACTGGAGCTAAAAGCTAAGGGCATCAAGGAAAGTCTCTCTCTGTAAGTCCATCCTCTTCACCTTCACCTGAGCCCCAGCTACAGAGAGATACCTGGTAGGCAGAGGCAGCATCAGTCATTCTGTCTTGCAAAGTCGGTGACATGAAGGGAAAGTCCAGGACAGGGGCTCTGCATTCTGGGCACTGGGGGCCAAGTGTTTGAAGTTCCTCATAGCACTTTGCCTGGGTTCATGAGACCTCGGGGATCCAGTGTGTCTTTGAGCTGCCGCATAGTCTCCACACCCACGGAGCCCACTTCCTCTTGCAGCAGCTGCCGCTTGCCCAGTCCGATGCCATGCTCTCCGGTGCACGTCCCGTGGAGTGCCAGGGCACGCCTAGGAGGTCAATTGAAGGAATTCCTCAGCAGCTCATCTCTGCCTCTGCCCTCCCCAACCCCCACCTCTCCCTGGCTCAGTCCTTACCTGCCCAGATTTTCTGCAAAGGCCTTGACCTTTCTCTGCTCCTCCGCATCATCTGGGTCGACCAGCATGATGCAGTGGAAATTACCATCACCCACATGCCCAACAATGGCTCCTGGGGACCCAGAGAACAAAGCTGATCATCTCTAGCCTCCTTGCCCAGGCCATGGCCAATCCCAATGCCTCCCATACAGCAAGTATATAGAACAGAACCTGTGAGTTGTGAGGCCTTAAGCTCTTCCTTGGTCTCTACCAGGATCTCTGGCAACCGGGAGATTGGCACACACACGTCCGTAGAATAGGCCTGAATCAGAAGGCAAGCTTGTGTGGTTCTCCCTATCACCTACTACCTACCTAAAGGTAAGGGATCACTGTGGCTCAGGCTTAGGACTAGTCCAATGGATCTTGATGCCATAGAATGAAACATCTGTCCTCTAGCCCACTAGCCTTGGAGTGTTCATTAGCCCAGGTCTCCACTACTCCCTTGGATCCAAGCCTGGACCACATGCAGGTTCCTAGTACCCCACACTACTGAACTGCATAATCTGCCCAGAGCCTAGCCTTCCCTTCTGGGTAGACTGCCTCCTTCCTTTCCATTTCCCCCCCAGAAGGCCTTTCCTTCATGTTTAAAATTCCTAAGGGCTCAACACTACACCTGGAGCTGGCTCACATGAAGAATTCCCAAGTTTTGGACCTAGAACTGTTCTCCCTCTAGACTGGTCGGGAGTGCAGGGTTCAAGTGCCAGGTGCGGTGGTCTATAGTCCTGGTCTTCATGCCCACTCAGCCAGCCCTTGGTGAGCCTCAGCCTTCTCTATGCACTAAAGTAGTGGGTTGAGGAAAGGGATTATGTATGGGCTGAACTGCAGATCCCACATCCACCCCAGCCCCCAGCTCACCTTCCGTCCAGGAGACATGGCCAAGGCTGCATACCAAGCATTGTGCCTCGCTGCCCAAAGCTCGCTGCGCTTTTCAGCTTCCTTGGCCCAGGAGAAGTGAGAGCCCCCATTATCCTGAGTGATTGCCTCTGCAGTAGGAACAGAAAGGCTGATCCTTAGTCCTGTACTAGCACAGCCCAAGCCCCACGGCACTACCCCGCCCCCCCCCCCCCCCCCGCGGCCCCCCCCTCCCCCTAGCACACCTGTGCGTTGCAGCTGTTCTGCTAATGCCTGCTGGGAGCCATGGAACTCCAGGAAAAGTGTGGGTGCCACAGGGCAGTTCAGTTTGCTGTACCTGTTGCAGGCATCCATCATGACGTCATCCAGGAACTCTGGGACCAGGGAGAGGGCTGGTTAGGTGACGCCTTGGCATTCTATGCGGGCCTTTCCTGTAGAACCCACCCCGACTGACCCAGTCCCTAGCTCACCAATGCGGGCCACAGGCACTGCAGACTGGAGGATCTGAACTGTGCTGTCCACTGCAGCTTGAACACTGGGAAATGCACAGGTGGCTGCTAGTGTGGCCTCAGGTGCAGGGTGCAGGCGCAGGGTGGCAGATGTAATAATGCCCAGAGTCCCCTCGGAACCCACAAAGAGTCCTGTGAGATTGTAGCCAGCCGAGCTCTTCCTGGGCGCAGGGACACATAAGGTAGGTGAGTGTCCAAGACATGTGAGTGATTTCTGTCTAGAAGCCTAAAGCTAGAAGACAGGCTTGGAGTGATCTCCTACAGCCCCGTCGTCATCACAGTGTTCGTGATTTAATGATCCAGATAGGCCTTGCACAGGGGAATCACTAACTGGGCCCCCAGACAGAGTTCCAGGGCCTTCGTGAGTATCACTCACCTATCCAGGAGGCCCTGCAACAAGGTCAGGCAGTGCTCACCTGTAATGGCGACCTCACCTATAATGGCGACCGCGGCCTGCAGTATGAAGCAGTCTGCCATCAGGCAGCACCACCTCCAGGTTGATGACGTTGTGGCGCATGGTCCCATAGCGCACAGCATTGGTGCCCGAGGCCCCAGTGGCTGCCATGCCACACAGAGAAGCATCTGCACCTGGGTCTAAAGGATAAAGTGCTGGAGAGGGCAACTTGGGAAACTTCCCCTGTGGGAAAGATGTGGTCCTCTGAAATCCCCCACACAGCCCCCCCCAAAACCCTCAGGACCCTGAGATTAGCCCCAGGCCTACCAACAGGAAACCAAAGGCCACTGTCTCGCAGGTGGGTATTGAGGGCTTTTCGGGTGACGCCAGGCTCCACCACCACAGAGAAATCTTCTGTATTCAGCTCCATGATTCGGTCCATATGGGTCAGGTTGATGCACACTCCACCCTGGTAGCAGGAATGCCGAGAAGGCTGCCCAACCTAGGTCTCTAGGCCAGGAGCAGCCCCTGGAACCTCATTCTGTGGCTGAGGCCCCTAGCAGTCATACCAGAGCTCTAAGATGACAGGTGGAGATAGCCATAAATGTGCCTTGTGTAATGGGACTGGACCCAGGACACCCCACTATACCTGCACGGCACAGACTCCCCCTTCAACACCAGTGCCGGTGCCAAATGGAATGATGGGAACACCTTGGTTGTAGCACAGGGTTGCCAGTCGGCTGACCTGGTCCACATTCTGAGGCCACACCACAGCATCAGGAGGTTGACACCTAGAAGCAGGCAGGCCTCAGAAGTTTGGAAAAGTGTGGTATCCCCTCGCCCTCTCATTTCCAGGAACCTGGAGTTTTCCACGGACCTGAGGACAGGGCCTCAGCAGATCGGGACAGAGAACATCTCTCTAAGGAGAATGCCACCACATTCCAAACAGGTGGCAAGAGACAAGGATAGCCCAGGACCCTGGTCCCAGCAGCAGCTTCTGATACCTGTGCATTGACTCATCATGCCCATGATGCTCTCTGACGGCAGGAGCAGTGGACACATGGGGGCTCCCTACAACTGCCTTCAGAGCCTCCACAAAGTCCTGGCTGAGTCCACCCTGCAGGGAAGAAACGGTGCAAGGGTCATAGGAACGATAACAGGAGCCACAGCCCTGCCCTGTGGCAGGAGGAAAGAATGGTAGCTAGTCAGATCGCAAGATGATGTCACAGAGCCTAGAGAACTTCACACCAGGCTCCCCGCCCTCCAGGACCCCATCCACACATAGACGTATACCTGTGACCCCCTGGAGCAGTAGCTCCTCCAGGGAGACAGCCTCTGGGTTGCCACCCGAAGGAGCATGGCCATACTCAGACCGCAGCTAAGGTGAGAGTACTGGGAATGGGAGGAGGCCGTGCCAGCCAGCCTTTAACGGAGCCCAATGGCCGCACTGGGTGGAGCCTGCTTAATTAAGGTGGAGCTAGTTTAAGGTGGCCCCTGCAGATCTGGGGAAAAAAAAAAAAAAAACCAGGACAGCAGCCGCTTTCGTGCCTTAAAAGTCCACCACTTCCTGTAGCCCTTCAAACACAAACTCCTTGTGTGGAGGCTTTAAAAGTCCCCCTGACTCCTCGGACTTCTCTGTCCACACTTCCAACCTCCTCTTTGACCTCTAGGCTCTCTCTAGTTTCCCTTTTCATTCCAGAGCTCAGGCCAGGCTCATGACCTTGGCACACGCACTGTACCCTGAGGTATAATGTGCCTGTGTCTGAAACAGATATCACAAACAGGGATCAAGGTCCGAAGGCATTCAGTTAATATCAGACAACTGAGGATATGAGCCATTTCTCCATCTCTCTTGGCTTTAGGTACTTTAGAAGGGCTGGCATGGTGATTTTTTTTTGGGGGGGGGGGGTTGGTTTTTCGAGAAGCTTTGGTTTCTCTGTGTAGCTTTGGTACCTGTCCTGGATCTCGCTCTGTAGACCAGGTGATTCCATTTTTTGTAGGCTTTGACAGAGAGTCTTGCTACTGTTATTGTCCAGGCTGGCCTTAAAGTCACAATCTTCCTGCCTCAGGCTCCCAAGTGCTAGGGTTACCGGCAAGCACTTACATGCCCAATGTGACTTCGTTTCAATTTTGACATTTCTCCCGTCTCTGAACAGTGTTTCCCTGAAGACATCACTGATTTTCTGATGGTTTGATCTCAACACAAGGATGAGATCTGTTCTGCTTGGTCTGATCAGATCTATGTTTTGGGCAAAGGGAGCAAGGTGGCAGGTGTTGTGGTGATTTGAATGAGAATGGCCCCATAGCTCATGTATTTAAATACTTCATCCCCAGTTGGTGGAACTGTTTGAGAAGGATTAGAAGGTGTGGCCGTTTTTGAGGAGGTGAGTCACACATTTCCAGTTAGTTCTCTCTACTTCTCCTTGCCTCATGCTTGTGGATGAGATGTAAGCTCTCTGCTGCTGCTCCAGTGACAGGGCTGCCTGGCAACTACCACGTTCCCTGCCATTATGGTCATGGACTTAGCCTCTGAACTATAAGCCCCCAATAAATTCTTTCTTCTATGAATTGCCTTGGTTATGGCATCTCATCACAAGAATAGAAAAGTAACTAAGACAGATGCCAAGGAGTTAATGCCAATAAAACCCTTGATGGTCAATTTCAAGCAACTGATAGGTATAGAAGGAGTGCCTCTTAGGTCAGGAATGCCTGGAACCCACTCTGGTTTGTCCTGTGGTAAGATATTGGAATTTCAAAAACTTAGCTCAGGTGAAATTTAGTAGCTTGCACCTTTAATCCCAGCACTCAGGAAGCAGAGGCAGGAGGGTCTCTGTGAGTTCAAGGCCAGTCTGGTCTACATAGTGAGTTCCTGGACAGCCAGGTCTATGGAGAGAGAGAGAGAGAGAGTTAGTTTCAGGCAAGCCAGGGTTGTATAATGAGATCATGTCTCAAAAAAAGAGGGGATGGGTGATGAGGGTGTGGGGAAATACCGGTTTTTTAAAAATGCAATCAACAAGAGCTGAAAATTAAATACTTATTTAAATACGTACTCCATAGGTGACCAATGTCTGATGCTTTTTTTAATTGTTAAGAAGCACTGCTCAGAGTACACAGTAGTAGTGAACATCTTAGCTTAAAGAGGATAGCCAGGAGAGCTGGGGAAATGGCTCAGCCTGGTGCTGGCACCAAGCCTAGCAACCTGGGTTCCATCCCCAGGACCCACAGGGCGGAAGAAGAGAATGGACTCCCCCAAGCTGTTCTCAGACCTCCATAAGCATGCTATAGCACATGCACATGCACGAGCACGCATGTGTGTGCACATGCGCTCGAACTCTCTCTCTCTCTCTCTCTCTCTCTCTCTCTCTCTCTCTCTCTCTCTCTCTCTCTCTCTCAGATTTTTTTCTTTGCCTCAGTTCCCAGAATTAACATTTGAAAGTACCAGGTTCAAACAGTCTACCAGGAAGCAAGCTCACATTAACATTTCATTTAGTTAACATCCCAGCTAGACCTAACATGTAAAAAGTTCTGTATGACAGATTGTTTCCAGTCTCAAATTCTCCAATTGACTAGAAAAATTCCTGCATTTTAACTAATCTGTTTTTCAAAGGAATAGAGGGAAAAAATATAGACAGGGCAACAGCCACTATATACTGACATAATCCAAAAATTGTCCCCCAAATCATACAAACATACAGTTTAAATTAGGCACAATGAGAATAATAATTTTAGCACACATAAACAGAAAACAGAAATGCAAAAATGAGGGTCTGGAGAGCTGCCTCAGCAGGTAAGAGCACTTGCTGCTCTTACACAGGACCCAAGTTTATTTCCCAGCACCCACATAACGGGTCACAATCAGCTTCAACTCCAGTTCCAGGGGACACAGTGCCCTCTTCTGGCCTCCACAGGCACCAGCATGCTCATGGTGCACAAACATACATGCAAGCAAAACACTCATACACATAAAATTAAAATAAATCTTTTTTTAAAAAAAGAAATGCGCCCGGCAGTGGTGGTGCACGCCTTTAATCCCAGCACTTGGGAGGCAGAGGCATGTGGATCTCTATGAATTCGAAGCCAGCCTGGGCTACAGAGTGAGTTCCAGCACAGCCAGGACTACACAGAGAAACCCTGTCTAGAAAATACAAAAAAAGGGAAAAAATTAAATGCAAGATGAAGTGGCAGGAGGTTTAAAACTCAGTGATTTTCAGTAAATCTAGAAACAGATTAAGTTTTGACTCACATACCTTAAAACCATCATGAGGGAGCAGAACATGGTGGCGCACACCTTTGATACCAGCGCTCCAGAGGCAGAGGCAGGCAGATCTTTGAGTTCAAGACCAGCCTGGTCTACAGAGTGAGTTCCAGGACAGCCAGGGCTACACAGAGAAACCTGGTCTCAAGAAAAACAAAAACAAACATCATGATCATGCAAAAAGCTGATAAAAATTCCCCCTGGGGGCACCAAGATAGTAAAAAACAACCTTCTGTATGGTTACACAAGTCACAGTGAAGAGCTCCTTAACACCCTCATTTCTCTGTCTCAAGTGGTTGAACAGAACCCCAATTAACTCAATAGAGCCCCCCCCCCAAATTTCCAAATGGACAAGGCCTGTCATACAATGGTACAATATCCCAAATAGTTCAACAGAACTCAAACAGTCCAGGGTTCTACAAGACAAAGCCAGTCACCAAATAGTAGTTACCAAAATGGTTCAAAATGAACCTAACTAGCTTGAAAGAGTCCCAAACCAAAAGGAAGGCAAAGCCTGGGGTGCACTGACTGGGAAGAAACTCACTAAGGGTCAATTTTTTTTTGTAATCCAAAACAAGTCCAAATACTCATATCTCTGCTTTATCCAATAGAAGTAAAAAGCAGCCGGGCGGTGGTGGCACACACCTTTAATCCCAGCACTCTTGAGGCAGAGGCAGGCGGATCTCTGTGAATTTGAGGCCAGCATGGGCTACAAAGCTTGGCCAGGACAGCCAGGGCTACATAGAGAAATCCTGTCTTGAAAAAACAAAAAACAAACAAACAAACAAACAAAATAGAAGTAAAAAGCAACTATTGCCCCCTGAAATGGGAAGATAAGTAAAAGTCCCTGGAGTAAAGTGACTCCAGCAGCTGTGTGGGAGCCTTTGATCTTTCTTTTTTTTTTTTTTTTTTTTTTTTTTTTTGGTTTTTCGAGACAGGGTTTCTCTGTGTAGCTTTGCGCCTGTCCTGGAACTCACTTGGTAGCCCAGGCTGGCCTTGAACTCACAGAGATCCGCCTGGCTCTGCCTCCCGAGTGCTGGGATTAAAGGTGTGCGCCACCACCGCCCGGCTTTTTTTTTTTTTTTTTTTTTTTTTGTGATCTTTCTTATTTATCTGAGGTTAATTTGCTATAAGTGGCCAACACACACACACACACACACACACACACACACACACACACACACACACACAAAATCTATCTTCCTGGTCATGTGACTTGGAGTTGTTAGGGCCAGCACCTGAACTCTGGCATCGCCTAGCCACCCATTCCCAAACTGGCCACTTAAGCAAACAAATGATACTGAAAAAGCAGAGTAAGATTTATGAAATGTGACCACATTAGGAAGAGGAACCAGGAGGTCCAATGACTCACCCACTTCCAGGCCATCTTTTGGGTCCTAAAATGAGGTTTAACTTAAGTTTAAGTAGAGGGTAAGTGGTAGAAATAAGCTAATCATTCCTAGTTGAGGTGTGGTCCCACCATCATCATTGTCTCAGTTCCAGTCTCTCCTCAAGGGGCTCTGACAAGTTGTCTGTGTTGTATGACAAGCTGGGAGACAAGCTCTTCCTCTGGTTGGCACCAAAATCCCAGCCTTTTGCTCTATTCAGCTTGAGGTCCATTGTCTCAATAGCCTGATAGCCTAAGGAAAGAAAGAACACAGTATCTGTTTGTAATATCTTCATTCCTGTAAGGATGGTTACACAAACACATCACTTTTAAATAATTAATTTCACACATCACTTTTAAATAATGAATTTCAGTCTTTATGGTCCCTAAAGGCTCCTGTTCATCTCATAATGCAAAGTTCATTTAGCCCATCTTTAAAGTTCCCAAAGTCTTAACAGTTCCAAAATTGTTCAAAAGCCCCAACATCTTCTCTGAAGTCACGGCAATCTCTTGCTGTGAATCCATGTAAAATAAAACAAGCTTCGTACTTCCAATAAATAACGGCATGGAATAAACATTTCTAGTCCAGAATGAAAGGCTGGAATGACAGCAAGGAAATGTTTACTAGGGCAAGATCACAACCCAGCAGGACAAACACCAAGCCTCGCAATTCCGTATCTGGCATCTGGGACTCAAGATGGAACCATCTGGACTCTTAACAGCCTTGGACAGCTCTGCCCATCTAGCTCTACTGCCTGAAGTACATCTTCCCTCTGTCTTAGACAGGCT